TCCCGCAGCGCGCGATGTTCCAACTTCCAGTCGTACCTCACGGCTGGTGGCTCCACTGTACCAGGAATCGTAGCGTCGGCTCAGGGCTGCATAGCTACCGGCAGGATCGCCATCCAGGCTCGAGTATGGGGAATCGGGTAACAGGCCATCAGGCACCGACAGCGCTGAATGTTCAAGCCTGGGGTTCGGATTTGGGACCACTTCTTTCATTATTGAGCGAAAAGAGTACACTGTTTGTAACGCCGTAGATGCCAACCCAACGTGGAAAGAGTCTCGACTGCTGAGTCAGACAAGCCTCCATCTAGGTAGGGATGGTAAAATGTCGTCACAAAACGGACTGTGACCGACACAGCGAAATGTCCATGTTTTCTATGACGGTCAGAGACGACATACACGTGACTAAAAGTGGGTCAATTTTGACTAATAATCAGGCGCCTAGCCCAGCTAATAGGCTTCCGTATTAGGACTAGCGCTTTTTTATACTACGGGAGCTAGACCCTTTTAAGTATGCCAAGCGCCGATCTGACAGTCTTGTTTCGCTGTGACCGTCACACTGGTCATTTTGGTGGTCACAGATGGTCTGCCTAATGAACTGGATGACTTTCTTAGCGCGACCGAGTGAATTGGATGACTTTTTGACAAAAATGGCCTAAAGAAGTTTAGCGCCGCGTTTTAGCTAGTAATTATAAACCTATAAAAAAGGCTTATTAACTAATAAAACACCACCACGGCTAATATTACCTTTTTTATTACTAAGGCCTTTACCCCTAAGATTTTTTAATATTTATAAAGTTAGTAAAACGGAAAACTTTACTCCTAAACTTTTTTATTAATTTTATATATATTACTTTAATTTTACTATAGCGTACTTTTTTAACACCTAGCATTTAAAAATAATTATTTTTAATATAAACGCCGCCTGGATTACCCTGTAATAACATGCTTAAAACTATAAGTATTTTTTTAATATTTTTAAGGCAAGTAAGAATATTTAGAATATTAAATATTATTATCGCGAAATAAAAAAGTGTAAATACTAGGTTTAAATTTAATAAACTATAGTAAAGGAACCGCTAAAAAAAAAGCTTTTTTTTATTTAATAATATTTAGATTATTTATATAATTCTTATAAAAAACCTTAAAAAGGCGCTATTTTAATAAAATAATTAATCCCTTTATAAATTAAGTAAGTAGTAAATGGCGTAATAACCTCCGCAAAGGCACTTTAAAAGGTAAAAAAATTAGCCCATGGTTATAAGCTTGCAGTACGCCATAGTTATAAGGTTTAAAATAAAATTAATAATATAATTAATAGTAATAAAGTTATCTTATTTAAATAAATCCCTACCTAGTTATCCCGCTTAATAAATAAGGATTTTAATAAGTGGTGGTATTATAAGATGTGCTTTAATATATTTACCTATTATTTTATTACACCAAGCGCCTTTATATAAGGATTTAAATATTATTAAAGATTTATGGCGTTAAATATAACTTTTTAAAAGGCCTTATAAAATATATAGTTGCTTGTGGCTGGCTTGCTTAATAAAAAAAATTATATATTTTTTATAGTAATTATAGTTATTCCTAGTAAGTTAAAGGACCACTAAAAATACTTTATTTATTATTTAAAAAGGCTATATAAAAATAACTTAAATATACCTTTAATTATAGTTATTTTTAACCGCGGGAAAGGCTTTTAAAAAGCGCTAAAGGGTAAATTAATAAACACAACGCGCCTTTAGTGTGTATAATACCTTTATAAGAACCTTAAGTAATATTATAGCAGGCGCCTAAATAAAATAGTAAGGCGCCTTTTTTTTTAATACACGAAGGCTTGCTCTAAAAATAAGTTTAAAATTTTAAAAGGTTTTATTAAAATATAAAATAACAAGGCGTGTTAATATATTTATAATAACTTACTTATTAAGCGCTGGGTTTACTACACCATCCTTATATTAAAATATAATTATATAACTTTAAATATTATAAAATTCCTAAACTTTTTATAAATTTACTATTACAAGCTACTTATGCTTAAGGCCATATAACTTATATAAAAAAAATTTATATTAACCTTTTATTAGCGCCGCGGGGCCAAGTTTAAATTAACTATGCTTATTAATTTTATTATAGGCCTTTTTAAAAAAATAAATACACGGGTAAAAAGATTATTTATTATTATATTAAGTAATACTTTTATAAAGGTTAAATATAATAAGTATAAATATTTAGTTAACCTTGCTGCGCAAACCTATAGTTATATAAGGTGGTAAAATACCTAGTTTCCCTGTGGCCACGCGCTGGCCGCTATATATAAAATAAGAAGGAATTAAGATAACTTTATTTCTAACTATTACTATATTTAAAACTATAAAAACACCTACACTAGTATTTTAAAGCCTATTCTTAGTAGCTATATAGCTAGGGATTTTAAGTATAAAGCGCCTTTATGTTTAATACACCGCGGGCGGCCTAAAATAAAATAAATTTAAAAATACCAAAGCTATTAAAAGCATTAAAAAAATTAATTTACCGCCGCCCGGCGCGGGATAATAAAAAGTGTTTATTATAATAAATGTTATAAACTTGGCCATACATGGTGTAGTTAGGGTTACCCTTTATTTAAATTTAATTAATATGTTATTATTTTAGAGGCCAGCGGGCGTATAAAAACTTTTTATAATCCTTAATATATTATTTCTTTACCACAAACTCCTACGCCTTTTCTGCCTTAAATTCCTACTCCTACGCCTTCTACGCCTTTTTTACCTTAAATTCCTACTCCTATGCCTCCTCCGCCTTAAATTCTTACTCCTCCGCCTTAAATTCCTATACCTATGCCTTTTCCACCTCCAGAGTTAACACTAAGTTCTCCTTTAAGCTTTCTATATAAACCAAGACCTTTTTAAGTCCCCCCTAAATTTATAAAGTTAGATCTTCCACCACTTACTAATAAGGAACTAGAAGAGATGGCGGAGAAAAAACATAAAAAAAAAAAATAATATAAGAAATTAAAGGCTGCTTGGCTAATAACACCAAGGCTAAATATTAAAAAACCACTAAAAAATCCTTAAAAAAAATATTACTGGGCGTAAAGAGTTATCCCTATTTTATAAAAGTTTTATATAAAAAAAATGCCTGGGCTAAAGTATTAAAGCTTTATAAAGCTATACTAAAATATATTATATAATAAAAATATTATAATAGCCTTTAATATTAAGTTTATATATTAACACTACTACCTACCTAATATTTATAAGAATCCCTGGGATTAAGGGATAAATATTAAAAAGTTTATAAACTATTATTATTTTAGTTACCTTTGCTATAACATTAGCTTTAAATAGCCTTAATTTAGCCATGTTAAAAAAAAACTAGCGGGTGTACAAGGCCTTTACTGCAGCTCCCGCTATAACCGCTATAATTTATACTTTAAATAGCTTTAATTTAGCCGTGTTAAAAAAAAACTAGCAGGTGTATAAAGCCTTTGCAGGCGTGCGGCGCGCGCGTAAAGTTATTTATTTTAAATAATTACCTTTTTTTAAATTAACTAATAAGATTCCTGCATTTTATTAACGTAAATATAACTTTTAAATATTTAAAATAGCTTTAAAATGCTTAGTTTAGTTAGGATTATAAAAAATTAATTTTATTAAACAAGGGTACTATTTTGTTTGGCCAAGGTTAAGCCTTAGAGAATAATTTTACTAGTAAATTACTAGGTAAGTTGTGTGACGGGGCCGAAACAGGGCTTTGTTAGAAAGTCATCTTGTTCACTCGGTCGCGCTAAGAAAGTCATCCGGTTCATTAGGCGCAGACGGTCAGACATATGTCGGATCCCACCCCTACATCTAGGAACCTTTGCGTTGCGGAGACCCTGTGTCATGTTATGCCGCGGATCCTGCTTTCTGACTCGCAGCGAATAAGAGCGGACCTGGTTAATGAATCTTATTGAACAGGATAGGTCCGCAGAAGCTGCTCGTCAGTGGCTATCATGTCGCTAACTGTACACTTGGGAGTTGGGAATCAACCGTTAGCGAGGCTCTTGGCGGTTGGCGTGCAAACGGCTGGGATCCGAGGATGAGCCATTTCCTGTCGATCGAACAACTGTCGTCACGCCGTGTACTCCGCCAGTAACCCCGTGAGTGCGCCGTGATATATTTCTGTTCTGTATACTCTCCGTACTACCGTAGGTAAGACCGAACGGAACCCTCGATCTTGAATCTCAGACTCTGTGTGGGTAGGGCTCGTACTGGGGCTGGGGAGCATTGTTCAATCGGAGGCCGAGAGTACGTAAGTCCTGGTCAATGCATCGGAGATGCGCCCTCGACAAGGAGTAGAGTCTCAAATCAGCCCGTTATTGGAAGAATAAGATGAGAGTTCTCTCAATTTTGATGGAAAGAGAGACAGCTCAGCTCAGGAGATGTAGTGCTAGTGAAGACTGAAGCTGAGCAGGTTGCTGGTGTTGGTCGAGATGATGAGCGTAATATTACCGGCAGACGTACGGTACGGTCATGCCGAATTGCTCCAGAGGGCTGGTCGGCCTTGGTCACTGCTGGTCCTTGCTCTGAATGCTCATCCACTCTCTGTCCCCCAGTGCCCACTCTCGCTGCTGCCAGTCTGAGTGGAGGGCCGTCGACTCGTCCCTAAATCCCTCCTGATTCTCCCTTTCCACCTTTGCCCTCGCCCTCCTGTCCTCGATTCTTTCTCATCTTCTTTCTATCAGACCGACCCTGATCGCTTATTGTGCTCCTGCCACCTCCCGCTCCCGCTCGAGCGTGTCGCTTCACCCGTCGTCCCTCTCGCAGCCCACCTTCGGCTCCCCGTTTACCGCCCCTCCCCCTCAGACCTACCCCGTCGGTTGCCTGCCTCGACATGAGCAACGCCCTTTGTTGAGTCGATCAGCCTCCAGCCGCAAGGGATGCAGCAGCCCCTGACTGCTTCAAACACACTTTTTCGATCATTCGCCCGCCTTGGTTAATCGCTGCGGCCATCCGATGTACGGAACTCGCGTCCTCGATCCATTGGCTGTCGACCAGGGATCAGCGCCGATGAGCAAGACAAAGGCTTTGGTCACTGCCTTCGAGAAGTTCGAGTACGATTACCCCGAGAAGCCGATGGCTAATACTTTGGCCCCGAGAAACCGGAGCCGCGGAGGAAGCCTGTCATTTTCCCAGAGAGACATCGTGACAGACCACTCGCCTAAACGACATATACCCCCCATGAAGTCGCCTAGCCCGGAGCCGGCGCCCGCACTCTTTGTGCGGGCCATGTATGATTATGATGCAGATGATCACACAAGTTTGAGTTTTAGACGTGGGGATGTCATTCAAGTCCTCAACCAGCTCGAGACCGGCTGGTGGGACGGTGTCATCAATGGCAACGTTCGGGGCTGGTTCCCCAGTAATTACTGTGCCGTGATTACCGATCTGGGCGAACTCGAGGGTCACGTATCACAGGTTCACCACGAAGACGATATCAGCGCGGATTCGGGTGCTGGCGAGGATTTTGAGGAGGAGCACGACGATGGTGCCGAATCGCCTGCAAATGCTCGCGACTCGCACCCGATCTTACCTATTGAGGGAAATGATCCTCCCAGTCAGCAAGAGGAAGCGGCTTTCTGGATCCCCCAAGCGACTCCCGATGGTCGCCTATTCTATTTTAACACACTTACCGGCTATAGCACCATGGAACTGCCCTTCGAAAACCCATCGGCTAACGAGACTGGCCCATATGACCGTAACAACTTCTTCGTACCTGACCAGACTCGACCTCCACCGGAGCTGATGGCTCGTGGGTTTGAGCGAGATGAAGACGACTACGATGGCTCGGCATCCGAGGCGGAGGGCGAGTCGCTTATGCTTGCTTCGCACGACTCAATGTCTCGACGACGCCAGTCATTTATGGATGGGGTTTCGCCTGCCACATCTTTGGATTCCTTACACCCGCCTTCTGCAACCAAATCCATGAATGAGGGGAAGAGTCCTCTTGGGCGAAGCCCTAACAGACTTTATGGTTCTACAGGCGCAGGAAGCAGCACTTCGATCTCAGAACCCATGCACAGGCCTTCGGTTTCATCCCGAGTTTCTCAGCATTTCTTCGACGATAATACATCATCGCCTATCACCTGGTCCTTGCTTGTGGACAACATTTCTAACTCTGTGGAAATCTACCGGCAGGCGTTGTTAAGTGGCGATCGCGCAGAGTTTGTGCGAAAGGCCGAGGACATCTCCGACCACCTGCGTATGCTCTTAGCGGCTGGCTCTGATACCACTGATAACCACTCCGGAAACCCCTCGATAATTTCCGCCAATAAGCCTCTGTACCAGCATTTCCGGGATATGATGTCTAAATTCTCCAAGTTGGTCCTTTCGTCGCACATGGCTGCTGCTGACTGGCCGGGCGCAGATGCTGTCAACAAGTGTCTTCAAGAAGCCGACGGCGTTATGCAGGGGGTCTATAATTACGTCGAAGTTGCAAGAAATCAACGTGGCGATTACATTCGTCGGATAGTTCCCGGTTTCGTGATGGGTAGTGCCTCAGGTGGCTCGTGGCAGAACAATGGTGTTTCACTAAACGACTCTGGCCCCACGTCATTCCTGGACCAAGACGGTGCGGACCTACGACCCGAGCCAAATGTTCCTTTGGAGCCGAACGTCGTGGACCATATTGATGTCCTTCGGAGGTCTTTTGTTGGTACCATTCGTCGCGTGGAGGAGCGGTTGACCCTCAATCAAAAGAAGATTGTTACCGTGGCCGAGCATGAAGAAATGGGCGAATTGATCGCCGCAGCTGCTGTCAAGGTTGTTGAGCAATTTCGCCCCTGGGTTTCTGCCGTTGAATCAATCAATTTGGGACCTTTGGGAACCAGTTTCCAGAACCCTCAGCTCATCGATTTTAGCTCGCAAAAGCAACGAGCTTACGATGCCATTGCTGACTTCGTTGTTAGCTGTCAGGCTGTTTCGGCGCCGCTCGGCGACGAATGGGCGGAACTTCGCGGTGACTCGCTTGAGGATCGCTTAAATGCCGTCAGGGGTGTTGCCAGACAACTCGAGAACTATGTCTCTCAAATTGGCTTCTCCCTTTCGCTCCTTCTTGAACAGGTGCCCGAAACGACCAAGTTACGTAGCGAAAGTCGCATCGGCGGCGATGCCGATATTTCTACAGGTCTGCATAGCCGCTCTGAGTCGCGTTCGACCGAGATTGGTGTGCCGTCGGCACATCCTCTCGACGGGTCCCCGGAGAAGGTGCGTCGTAACATGGACAAAGCCCAGAGGTTCTTTGGACAAGCTCCACCCGCCGCCATAACAAGAGAGCCTATCCGAGAGCTGGCCCGCGAGCCCGAAGAGACGCCGTGGTACTTGAAGATGGATCACGAAGGCGAAGTGTTCTACGATACCAAAAATGAAGTGCCAACTCTCAAATGTGGTACATTGGCGGGTCTGGTAGAACATTTGACCCGCCACGACAAGCCCGATATGTCTTTCAACAGCACCTTCCTCCTCACCTATCGCTCTTTCACCACTGCAGGTGAGCTTTTCGAGATGATCATGCAACGATTCAATATCCAGCCTCCTTTTGGTTTGAACGCCGATGAGATGCAGATGTGGGTAGACAGGAAGCAAAAGCCAATTCGGTTTCGCGTGGTCAACATCTTGAAAACCTGGTTTGAGAACTATTGGATGGAGCCAAATGACGAGTCACACATGCAGCTCCTCGAGCATGCGCATTCCTTCACCAAGGATTCAATTGCCACCACGAAGACCCCTGGTTCTACTCAACTTTTGACGGTCATTGAACAGCGTCTACGGGGTCAGGATACTACTGTCAAACGACTTGTGCCCACGCAAGCGACGCCCGCCCCGACTCCTATCATCCCCAAGAACATGAAGAAGTTAAAGTTCTTGGATATTGATTCCACAGAGTTCGCCCGTCAGCTTACCATTATCGAGTCGCGCTTATACTCGAAGATCCGACCCACGGAATGTCTGAACAAGACCTGGCAGAAGAAAGTTGGGCCTGAGGAGCCTGAACCCGCCGCTAATGTGAAGGCCCTGATTCTGCACTCGAATCAGCTTACCAATTGGGTTGCTGAAATGATCCTCAACCAAAGCGACGTGAAGAAGCGAGTGGTTGTCATCAAACATTTTGTCAATGTTGCAGATGTATGTTTTCCTAACCACTTTGTAAAACACTGCTAATCTGTACTAGAAATGCCGGGCCCTGAACAACTACTCCACATTGACATCGATCATTTCGGCCCTCGGAACGGCCCCTATTCATCGCCTTTCCCGCACCTGGGCTCAGGTCAGTGGGCGCACGTCTGCCATTCTAGAACAGATGCGCAGGCTTATGGCGAGTACCAAGAACTTTGGCGAATACCGTGAAGCTCTCCATCTCGCTAATCCGCCTTGCATTCCCTTCTTTGGTATGGAACCTATACTCCTTCACCCTAGACTCTTCGTTGTGCTCTTGGGATCTGCTTGTTCCCAGTTAACTAATCCCAATGTAGGCGTGTATCTCACGGATTTGACATTTATCGAGGACGGTATCCCATCGCTTACGCCCTCCGAGTTGATCAATTTCAACAAACGCACCAAAACGGCAGAGGTTATCCGTGACATCCAACAATACCAGAACTCGCCCTACCTCCTAACCCCTGTTACCGAATTACAGGAGTACATCCTGAGTAATTTACAAGGGGCGGGTGATGTACACGACATGTACGATCGAAGTTTGGAAGTGGAGCCGCGAGAACGAGAAGACGAGAAAATTGCGAGGTACGCCACCGGTGGTAGAGACATGAGTGCCCTGACTTTCGGGACTCTGCTCATGTCATCGCGATGATCCCCTGCTTCAACCCTTTGTTTGGACCCAATACCGTCTTCCTTCTATTTTCTTGGCGATACCCACTCCCTTCTGTTTCCTCAGAATGTCCGTTTATGGATGATCTTGGTTTGATTCGAAGACTAACGGACTGTGCTTTTTGCTACGTAGACTTCTTTCTGAATCGGGATTCCTGTAAGGCGCCAATCCACGTTTGCGTGACACGGGGCGACCCTGTCACCTTTGGCTGGACAAAGAACGAGTCGAGCTTCGGAAAGCCGAAAAGGGGACGACACGACAGCCTATCAGATCTCCCAGCAGCACCCGATACCGCGGGCTGTTCCTGGTTTCCTTCAACTTGAAGTACTGCAGCTCTGCGCATACGGCGGCTTCCGAAGAATATTCCATCAGTCGATTTCTGCAATCCTTCGGACCTCCGACCAACGGGGTGTATCTGTCAAATTGCCCCCACCTCCATCGATCGGCGCAATTGTTGGCACTGCTTTTGGTCAAGAGGGTGCCATCAAACACGTGCTAGCGATGTCACATTTGGATCGTGTGAGGTTGCACTCAGGAGCATACCACAAACGATTGAGAATGCTGCCTGTCCAGCAGGAGAGGAAGCATCGACTCTAGCTTATGATCCAGTATACCGGGCAACGAGATTCCTTGTCCATCCTACCTTATGTCTACCATACACCAACCTGCAGCCCTGTCACCACCACCGGTGTCGCTCCTTTTGCATCGCCCAAGCGCAGACCTGCGATGCTTATGTTCATCATCTAACTGTATACTCTTGACGACTCACAGTTTTCTACATATCCTCTGACTACCTCGATCCTGAACGTACCCATGCCTATCTTACGATGTATATTGGCCTTCGGCTTTTACTTGTCATTCTTTCCTTTCTTGTAGAAAGTTTTCCTTGTTGATGCATCAGCCAGTCTACTGCTGCTTTTGCTTTTGTCCTGTCATGAAGCGCAGTTCCGGCCATCTTGATGCTTCTAATGATTGTTACGACGCAAGATACCTAGCGCTCTGCATGCGCTGTCTTTGCTCCCGATTATGATTTCTTTTTGTCCATCTTCTACTTCTTCTCTGTTTTATTCTACGTACATCACCTTGTATATTGCTGGTACATTTAGGGTTGTATCCAATACTACATATTACATTCTTATTTTCCTGTAAAAGTTCCATGCTGCTCAGAAGTAGAGATGTTTGCCTAGGAAAATATAGCCTGGTTCTACCGTTATCAATGGATTACTGCTGGATTCGATCAGCCCTGAATTCCCAGTCTCCCTCCACTATTGTTTGCTATAGGCATGATGTGTTATTGGACAGCGGTTCATGTCTCTCGATGCGCGCATTTAGAGGAGTCAGGTGGCCATTTGTATCATCTACGAATACGGTGGGTACATCTAAAGGAAAAGCGGCCTGAAGAGGGAGAGAGATCATCGCATCGTGATATCATTCCATGCATGGTTATATTTTTATCATTATCTGATACCTGGAGGCGAACTAAGCAGACTCTGCCGTTGGGCTTTCTCCGATTGCCTGAAACAGCTGCATCTTCACTTCAGCGGCTAACAGACCCTTGACTTCCTCCGATACAATCCGCTGGCCGTCCTTTACTACCCGCTCTAGTTGTTGATCTTTGATTTGCGTTGGGGCGCCACCGCGGGACGGATTTGTTTCGATGCCGCGAGCTACCCGGCGGGTTTTCTGGCTGAGATCGAGCATCTGTTTGCTTCCGTAGTCGCGGGTGGTGAAGAGGGGACTTTGGCTGAGAGTTGCCACCCAGTATTTGTTCCAAAGGAGGGAGAGAATCTCTGTATCAAGTGCACTTTTGAAGAGGGACACTTCGAGTGAGTAGTAATGCGACGCGTGCGCTCCAAAGTCTTCTGCCTTGTTGAGCGGGACGGTTTGATACTCGTCTTCGTCGTGCGCCTCCTTGGGCGGCTTATAGTCCTTAGGGAAAGTCCTAAACGCGCCGATATCTACTTTTCCCGCGGAGATGGTGCGCTCGGGGTCGATGACAACAGCAACGAACGGCCCGCTCATCTGCTGCATATCTTGCGTTGAGACATCGATGCCCGAAAGCCAGCATCCGTAGCCCGGATGACTGTGATACCACCCGACAGCGTTCTCCATCCTCCCTGCTTCACGACACGATTGCAAATATGAGACCATGTACTCGTTCGCTTCGTCCTGCGCGTTGACTCGGGTCTCTGTGCCCTCGACTGGGAGGCGGAAGGCGTCTGTTACGACGAATGTGTTCGGGAGGATGTAGCCTTGCATTAGACCCATGACTTCGAGGGAGCCGCCGGAGCGGGCGTGCATGACCATTTTTAGAAGGGCGACGGCGGAGATGCGGATTGATTTGAAGTAGTGCGGGTCCTTGGCCCATGGGCGGGCGTCGCTGAGAGATTTGTGTGTGGCTTCGTCGTATTTGTAGAGGGCATCGCGCTGGGGATCAATTAGGGTGACGGCATTTTCGAGCTCTACTCTCTGGGTTAGATTTATCAAGAGATCGCCCGGGGACAAGATCTGGATACTAACCCCAGGATAATTGAGCAGCTTGCATGATGGATGTGAGGTGGGTGTTTTCCCCAGTGAGCGTGAGATCGTGTTCGTGTCAGTGCAGCACAATTGAGCTCAATGGAATGTCAGATTGGGAGTTAGACGAGAAGATGGAGAAGAGCCAAGGCGATATGGTTCAAAGTAATACTGGTGGTGATAGATACGAAGTGATGCTCTGGAGCTCTGCGGAGAAGCATCAAGGCGGTGGGGTAAGCCCGGCAGAAGGAGGCGGGGCACAGCTGAGTCAGCGGTTGCTGCGGAGACCGCGATCGGATCAACAGGAGATCTCAAGGCAGTGGAAAGCTCATCGAACGCCTCCGAGAAACAAGATTCCGTCCTGGATTTGACGCCCCCAGCCCCCTGCCTCCACTTCCTTGCTGTCGCGTTGCTGGGTGCATATAACCTGTGCGGGTCCCTCATCTTGGAAATTGTTTTCATTGTTGATTTGTGGCTTTGCGTGGCTTCACCTTGTCGCTCTCCTCCCAGGCGCATTGCCGCCGCGTCCGTACATGACCTGTCAGCGGATCTCATTTCGGAGAATATTGATATCTTGAAGTCTTTGCCTTGACCGCTGTCTCTCATCCCCTGCCTTGGGGTCCAGGTTGCAATGGCCGTCGATACAAGCTATTTGACCACTCAGGTCAACAACATTGTCAGCCAGCTTCATGGGATCTTCGATGAGATCGGAGTTCCCAGCCACGAGCGCGAGTCTAGAGAAGCAGAGGTATACTCACAAGTCCTCAACAATTGGACTCCCAAAGGCTGACTATTTATGATAGCTCTTCAGTGCGCTATCGGAAACACTCAATAACCACTTGAAGCTGGTTGACGAGTAAGTGCTACTCTGGGAAACAACAATGAGGAAGCCCTAACCGATCAAATCGCAGCGAGAAGAATGAGATGACCGAAGAAGCGCACAAGCTTATCAATGCGATCCAGCAGATGGAGGAATCTCTGGTCGACGAGAAAGCCAATGGCCAGTACAGTCTCGACGCCGGTGCGCTCCAGGTTACTTATCCGTTGAACCGCTGCGTCGCCTTCCTTCGAGAACAGCATAGCGCAGTCAGCAAGTTGCATCGGCAGCGATTTGAACAAGTCAAGAGTATGGTGCCGCTGTACGTGCCGGTACATCATTTGCTAACAGCATCTAGAACTGGTCGAAGCCCTCGAGTCATATTCGTCCCATCTCGAACCCTCCTTCATCACAATCGAACTTCCTCCCACTGCACCTGGATCGTCCGTCGCACCGAGCTTCGATCTCTCCCCGACATATGTTACTGCTCTCGACGAGGAATTCACTAGAGTGTACGAAGAATACCACCGCCGTCTCGAGCTTGTGACGACAACATGCGAAGAGATCATCAAGCTCTGGGCCGAGCTTGGAACTCCACAGGCACAGACGGATTCTAGTATTGTCCAACACTACCGAGAGTCGCCCGAACAGCTTGGACTCCACGAATCGGACTTGACAAATCTGCTCGCGCGGAGGGAGAAATTGCTGGACGAAAAGAGAGGACGGGAACGCAAATTGAAAGACCTCAAGCATGCTGTGGAAGGCCTCTGGGAACGATTTGGCGTCGAGGAGTGTGACAGAAAGGCTTTCCTTGCTGCCAACCGTGGCTGTGGTCTTCGCACAATCAACGAATTTGAAGAGGAACTTTCTCGTCTCAACGAGTTGAAGAGGCAGAATCTACACCTTTTCGTGGAGGATGCACGTTGCCGTCTGCAGGAACTCTGGGACGGGCTATATTTCTCGGAAGAGGACATGCTGGATTTCACACCTGCATTCTCTGATGTCTACAGCGACGCGCTCTTGGAAGCCCACGAGGCTGAAATCGCGCGCCTGGAGGCCTTGAAGGAGCAACGAGAACCGATTTTGAACTTGATCGACAGACATCGCAGTCTTCTTGCAGAGCGGGAAGCTTTGGCGGCCTCGAGCCAGGATGCGTCCCGCTTGCTGGGACGCGGCAACAAGGGGGAGCGACGTGATCCCGGCAAGTTGCTTAGAGAGGAGAAGATGAGGAAGAGAATTGCCAAGGAGTTGCCCAAGGTTGAGGTTGAACTTAGGAAGGAATTGGAGAACTTTGAGGACGAGTTCGGACGGCCATTCCTGGTTCACGGAGAAAGATATCTCGACGAACTCACCAAGGTAGCCGCCAAACCTCCGGTCCGTTCTAAGACGCCTGGCCCGTCAAGTACCACGAAACGTAGTGCTCCACCAGCTCGCCCTGCTAGCGCCATGAACCGCCCCGGAAGCTCCATGAGGGGTCCACCTCCACCTCGTTCTACGACAAAGACCCCTATAACCGGAGGCCAACCGACCAAGTACAACACTATAGGCGCGTCGAGGTCCGGGGCCAAGTCACCGTCAAAGATCCCGGCACGAGTTCCACTGAGCAATATGCCCCATGGAAACAATTCTGACCGCCGTGGTCCGGGCACATACTCATCCAGCACTGTGAATGGCAAATTGCCTTCATCTCGTGCGCCACCACCGAGGATGAGAGCATTAACGGTCACTGACAAGGAAGAACGCGGAAGCTATCTGTTTGAGCCTCCTCGTTGCGCCAGTGCCATGTCCAATTCATTCGTGCGGCCAGTAAGCCCCGAAGATGTATACGATGACCGCCAGCGTTCCTTCATGAGCTCTTCCATATTTTCCCAACGTTCGACGGGCTTCTCTCAATCGTCACATTCCTCTGCCTCGTCTATATCCATCAAGTCGTCCCTGCAAGGAGGGTTTCCGCGGCCAAACCCATATCTGCAACACGCCCCTCCACCTCCTGCACCGAGGCAGGTGTCCAACACCTCATCTGCTGCGGATACGATAACGACGGGATCTGAAAACTGGGAGACGTTTGATGACGGGTCGGAGTCTGAGGGTGAAAGTGATGCCTACTACGCCCGACTCCGAGCAGCACATGGAAAACGCGTGGCGCCAGAGGACCAGCAGCCATCAATATCGCTGGCTGGGAAGAAAGCAAAGGGGATCCGAAGCGTGAGCCCCGAGGAGCCGATTGGAAGGCACATGGTACGAGTGGCCGGAAGTGATAACGGCTGGACCGATGACATGGAGGCTTACTAAAAGTTACCACTCTCGTTACTGCTTCACCGCGGCCGCTCGTTGAACATTATAATGAGACCATCTGACTTGATGACTCGACGATGCGACACGGTCAATATATCCTACGGTTAATGGCAATGCCACCGCCGCCCGACGAGGCCAGGTGCACCTGGCAGCCTAATTTTCTATGTTCAATTTCTGGATCCCAGTCGATAGCTCTGGGCCTGTCCTTACCACCACGCTGCTTCCGGAGACCGGTCTGGGCTCTAGACCGCGAGAGGTCGCGCATTCGTTGGAAGCCTATTGTTGTCTTCTTGTACTATGCTTTTGGCCCATGCGCGTTGAATAATGCTGTACCTTCTATGATTTAATATTGGCTTTCTATTGTGAGACCCCACTTTATATGGTTTCTGGCGAGGATCTGTTGATTTCGTGTCTTGCGCCAGTCGCAGGCATGGGTTGTTTATGTGTTTGATATCAGCAAGCGTTTATGGATTTAAGCTCGTTATGAATTGAATTGATTTCGGTGTGCACCCTTCCCCTGAACTGAGATCTGTAGGTCAATGGTGGTTTGATAGAGCTTGCTCTGTATGCATCTCAGCTTGAGCTTATTGGTCGAGATCAAGTTGTTAGTAACATGCCAGCTGTACATCCATCACAATCCGATCTTCTCCCTTTTCTCTCCTCTCCCATTTTTATCTATCACCTGCATAGCAGAGCTCAATATTGGCAAGCCCAATCTCTCATCAGAATGCATCTTTCCTCCATCATAGCGGGTATTGCCACCATCACCCTAGCCTCATCGAGCGTCATCGTCGTGAAAGACCAGGATCAGGGAAGAAACGACGCCCGCGGCGCTTGCCTTCGCTCGTGCCATCAGCAGAGGCCAGCCTGCCCGGAGAATATGGTAAGTTTCCCATAAAAGGTCAGGACAAGATGAGATGGGCTAATCGATGATGCTTATAGGATCCGTCTAAGCTGGTATGCTTCCGACCCAGGTCACCTCCGCACTAACTGAGCCTGAACCCCTGCAGGGCGAGTGCTGGTCCTGCTGTTTCCGCCAGCAATCTCGGCCCCAGGGCGCTCGTCTTTGGTCGCCGGCTGTTCCTGAATTTGACCTCGACCGCGATGGCTTTGAACGCGATGGCTTTGACCGCGATGACTTTGAGGATGAGGACAGTGTTTTTCTTTAGGGCTTGGTTGGCAATTGAGAATGAGTCTCTACTCGCAATTGACCACACAGTGTGAATCCATGATCAGCTTGACAAGGATTGGAGCAAGGTACTGGTGCCCGAGGTAAGGTAAGAGTCGAACGGAAGGCAGAGAACCTGAATAGTGATGCTAGTATTTCTTTGGCAATACAAGTCATTCCGGGTGATCCTGAAGGTCCTTTTACGTTGTTTGCCTCTAGAAACTCCGCTAGAATGATGTCCGAGACAGCAAACATGATACACCCAGCTTACAATTCATAAAGCTGGATCACAAATCCTCTACTTTCAATAAGTCTTGCAATGGACAACATGGAATATGCTGACCTTAACCGCTACCAGGACATCCTGGGCCAATTGCCCATGCTTCAGGTCTACTCGCACGTCCTCTACTTCTTCCCACTGCCAGAGTCCTCCGTCCCCTGCCAGGCAATTGTCGATGCCTTCTCAGCGGCCATCATCAATGTCCGCAAGAAGGTCCCGTGCATGGGCGCCCGCGTCATTGCCTGGCCACCACCAAACCCCCAACTCGTGGTAAAAGACCTCCAAGACCAAGCACCATTCTGGTACAGTGGACTTTATCAAGGGAGATGGATGAACCGTGAGCGCCAAAGGTTGGAAGATGATTAAGCTGGCCACCTCGTTTCGGCATCCTCACTTCTTCTCCTCTGCCAACACCAGAGTCAACCTCCCTCTCTCCAACCGCGGCACCCTCCCCTCGACCACATCAGTCGTGAATCCGCCAATACTCAGGAGGTTGTTCCCGTAGCTCTTACGCAGCGCTTTCAAGATCTCCGTATCGCTCTCGTCCTCCACACCCCCGCTCCTTTCCCGAGACTTATTTATTGGATCCCCCCAGCCCAATGGCTCATCGTCGTCAGATATTTCCTCATTGCGCTCAAATTGCTCGTCCAGTGTCTTCAAGAAAAAGTCAATCGTCCTGGAGAACTCGGTCTTCGTGATGCCGCCAGGTGTTTCGACTGAGCCTTGGATGACTGATCATACATTAGCCAAATACACCAGAAGAATGTACCCAATCCCAAGATGGTGGACATAGGTAGGTAGGCACGTACTAGGTCTGAACAAGTCGAATGCACGATCGAAGTTGGCCTCGCCGAGCCCATTCAGCACATCGACCCCCTGGTTCCGCATTTGCCTGTACGCGGCCAGCACGGCCAGCAAAAACCACGAGTACCCTTCACTGACTTTGGCGGAGTGCCACTTTGCCGCTGTTTCTTCCGACACGTCACCCCTGATACTTGCCGCGATGGTGGTTGCCGCTGCAAGGCCGCCAGTCAGCGCGAGGTGCACGCCGGACGAGAAGAACGGGTCGATGAAGCAGCCCGCGTCGCCGACAATGCGCGCGTACGGAAGCGAATATCTGGTGCTGTGGTATGAGTAGTCCGATGCAGATTTGATGGTGGTTACCATTTCAGAGGCGCTGTTCTGGTGGAGAATGCCAGATAGCATCGGTGCGAGAGTCAGCGCATCCTCGAAATATGCTTCGAGACTTGCAGCCGCGCTCTTCTTCTCGGTGGCAATGGCCTGGCTTCGCACGACGCCGACCGAGGTCGTTCCGTTGTGCAGAGGGATGAGCCAGGCCCAGCCGCTTTCGTCTGCTTCGATGTTGGCACCTTTTACTGACAACCACCATCCCTCCCAGTGAGAAGGGAAGAGCCGAGGAGTACTTACCATGCAGAGCCTCAAAGATGGGTGAGTTCTCCCTCCTGGTGTTCTTGCCGTACTTGCCTATGTTGCGGTAATAGGCCCAATTCGCGACGTTCTTCAGTGTCTTGTTATAGCGTCGGTTCTTGAGATACTTTGTCCCCAGCAGGCCTGCACGCCCGGTTGCATCGACGAGGTAGTCGAAACTAATTGTTCCTGCGAGGTTGTTGTCTTTGCGGAGATACGAGGCCGATATAGGGCGGCCGATCTCTGCATCATTGGTGGTGGTGCTAGAGGCAGAGGTGGTGCTGGGGGTAGGGCTACGACTCGGTCCAGACTTGAACTGAATGTCAGTCACCTTGACCCCATCGAAGGTCCTTGCACCGCTCTTTCCAGCATGCCGGAAGAGCATCTCGTCTGCTTCAGATCGGATCACGTTCCAGGTGTGGCCTGTTGGGCCACCGAAGGCGAGGAAGTCGGACCCTAGAAGACCAGCCCACTCGTCAACACAACATGCAATGACAACTGAGATGGATAGATATCACTGATGAATTGACATACATCCCTCGCTATTCTCCGGCGTCAATTTAAACGCTGCGCCGACCTACGCGATCGTCCATATCAGCATTTTAACCGGTACCTACGTCAGAGTCAAGCTAAAAGGGGTACCTTTTTGGTAAACCCATGCTGATCAAACGCTTTATCCGCATCAATGAATCGCAAATAGTGGCGGAATGACGGCAGCATGCTTTCGCCGATATGGTAGCGCGGGAAGGACTCGGCTTCTAGCAAGACTGTATCGATGCCTTCGCGGGCCAGCACGGAGGCCGTGTAGGAGCCGCCAGGGCCGCCGCCGATGACCAGGACTGTACACCTGTGTGGGATTTGTGTGGTCATGGCTCTTGCTTATCTGGTTGCTTGCTTGGAGAGTTCGTTCCGGTGGAAGGATGGAGTGGATCGGTAAGTGGATATATATAGAGCTCCTAGTGTACCCAGGGTGAGCATAGCGTGGCTTGCTTACCTGCTTACTTGCTAGGCTGCTAGGCAGCTAGACGAGGGAGCCAACGAGGACTGGGCGCATTCTCCAACCGAGGCTGCGTCCATAGACGCTCCACTTGCGTAATCAGCCTTAGGTATAAGCGCATTGAGAAGCTCACCCGTGCCGAAGCTACAGGAAGTATAAGCGATATCCTGCCCCGCGGGACCATAAATGCTCTATAATATCCCCCTCAAGGCACGTTTGGATCCTTGAATACCCGTTAATCATGCCTTCAAGGCCATGATTGGCTAGGTAATAGATCACTAACACCTAACTAGCACTACTTCTCTTCTCGGGAGGTACAAATGTAGTAAGATATGGAGTGTAACAACGCCCAAGTCCAATCAACTAGGGCTTACTGTACGTACTCCGTACCAAGATTCCAAAATCATTCGTGGACATATGTCATGTGAGCGTTTTAAACGCTCATGTGAGCATTACCCCTAAAACATAAGCAAAAAAAATGCCAAGCCAGGTGAGTAAGCAATAAACGCGCGACCAATCTTAATTACGTAATCTTGTATGATTAATGTAATTTTTATAAAGTACTTTTTTTATAATTTTATATTAATTAAAAATAAAAAAAAATAAAAAAAATAAATAAAATATAAAGCACTTAGTAAGCAGTTAATAAGCAGTTAATAAGTAGTTAATAAGTAGTTATAATAATTATTTTAATATTTAATATTTTTAAAATATTTTAAATTAATAAGCACTTGGCAAGCAGTTAGCAAGTACTTAATAATATTTTTTTATATTTTAAAAATAATAAATAATATAATAATAATTATATAT